ATTCCCGAGATGCTGCCTGATGTGTACGAGTCCGACATCTCACAGTCCGACGCGGCGTGGATTGTGGACGTGATCTTTAAATCGTCTGAGGTGCCGGTTTGGCGCTGGATTCGGGATCTCAGTCCGAGGCAAGAGTGATCTCTTTCAATTTTCGGCAGGCTGCTACAGTAGCGTCTTGTCGATGCTGAAGTTGCTCTGGCCGAGGCCCAAAACGGATAATGCTTGTCTTGCGATGCCAAGCAGTTTTTGCGATCCTGTTTGCCTGCAATCTGCAGAATCAGTCAGAATTGTGCAAGTGCCGAAGCCCGAGTGGCTCAGAGATTTTAGGAGCGCGTCGGAGGGCCGTCAAGGCGATACGTCCGAGCCCCCGCACCATGGCTCCCAAGAAGGCGGGAGTGAAGAAAGCTGCTACCAAAAAGGCAAAGGCAGCCGAGGGCATCGTGGATCCGACTCCGGCTACTACGCCCGAGCCCCCACGCCCAGAGGACGCGAAGGCGGCACTCTGTGTGGTTCAGCAGGCTGTGGACTTCCTGCGGCATAAGAAGCTTTGGCAGAGCCTGAAGCCGCAGAGGATCAGCCAGGTGCGTTCTTGGCCCGAGGGGTTCACGGGCGCCATGGTTGAGAAAGCTTCCTGGCTGAATATTATTGTCTGTTTTCGAGAGTTGTGACTGAGAGCTTGACGATCATCATGAATAAATTGAGGTTGGCACCTTTTCGGGCACCATCGCGGACATCAGCTTCGATGACCTGGAGCTCGCGTCCGAGGTGCAGCTGCGCGAGTCTGCCAAGTACTGGTGGAATCCCGACCGAGAGCAGCCGAAAGCTCTCTTCGTCAGCGTGGTGTGCCACTCTGAGACCCAGCGTGGCCAGCTCGTCTTGACCGAGGACCACTCCAAGATAGCAGGGCTCGTGCTGCTTTGGTCCGAGGCAGAGAGGGCATCGGATGGACCGAGAATCGAGGCTCTCAGAAAGGTATGCACGAACATCGTCTTTGGCGTATCCCGAGTCCAGGCTTCTGATGTCACGAGCCACAAAGCAGTGCTGAACACGATCCAGAATGGCGAGGATGCGTACAAGACTGCGTCCGAGGCAGCGAACTCTCTGCCGTTTATCTTGGGTGCGAGGCTGACAAGGCAGGGGGTAATGATGTGTAGCGGTGAATGCTTCGAAGTGTCTTGGTGCTGACTGGGCTTCACGAGGCTCCAGATGGCACTCTTCAAGGAGAACCCGGAGCAAGCCAAGCAGAAGGACGTCTTCAACGCACTTCAGACAATTGAGTGGGCGTCCGAGGAAGCCAAGGCAAGAATTGGTAATGAGGGTGCAATTTACCACCTAGACAAGTGTTGCAATCCCACGAAAAGATTTAAGACTTCGCAGGTAGAGAATGAAGACAAAGTCGAGAAGCTTCTTACGCTGCACAAGAAGAGCGTCGCGGCCGGGCTTCACGTCGCTCTCCAGAGCACTCAGATCGTCGGGGGCGTCAAAACGTGGCTCTCCAAGTGGGGAGTTGTCACACGAGTGCGGCTTGGCTAACTCAGTGAAGCAGCTGTCAAAGTGAGCTCTGATGTGAATCTGAATCTGAAGCATCAAATTCGCCGCCCCAGGGCCACGGCACTGAAGACGACCGAGGAGTTCAGATTCGTGATGTGCTTCTACGTGAAGGCAGGAATGTTTGTGGCTCGTCATGCCTCTTACTTCGCTCTTGACCCGATAGTTGCAGGAGCTCCGCCCAAGTGCTCTGCCCGAGAATGCCACCGCGTCGAGAATCGGGTTCCACTCGGGGTACTCCGACCTGCGCAAGTTGACACGAGACCAGATCTTGGGGGCCACTTCGGCGTTACACCTGAGGTTTGTCACCGTGGAGAAGATGTGCGACCTCAAGAATGCGTCCGAGCGGGAGGACGTCCGAGAATTCTTGGGGTTGCTGAGGCAGGCCTTGGACCCGTTCAAGTGGGCGACTGCAGACTGGGCGAGCTTCGCGGCCTTTGCGTCCGAGCCCTTCGTGACGGTGGCAAGCTTCGTTATGAAGGTCATGGCTGGGGATATGGACGAGATCTTCCAGGAAGCAGCGGCGAGCACTGAGAAGGCATCGGCTATACCAAATCGTCATGCATAACTTAGCTTAAAGTGAAATGCTCAGTCTTGAATAGGGTCCCTGCTTTTCCTTGGAGGAGAACTACGCACGCCTCGTGGCTGTCATCCGAGAGATCACCGACAAGTGGTCCATGGCCATGAATCCTGCACCTGGGCCGCCTGCGCCCGAGTCCCCGCAGACGGTGTCAAAGGCAAGGAGCTTCCAGATGGAGGATGCAGCACCCGAGCAGTCTCCCAGCAAGATGACCCCAGAACAACTCCGTGAACGACAACTTGCTGCGGCGGTGGAGGCCGGAACGGCGGAGAGGTAGGACAGCGTCAGCTCGTCATGTTTGTTTATATTATAGTGTTTCTGTCACAGGAGGAGTGCGCGTTCTACGTGCACTACATCGTGGGTGACTTGCGGTGCGGCAGTGCGACCACCTTGGTCCGAGCCCTGTCCGATCATCGACTGCTGAGCGGAGACAATGTGAAAGGCGTGACGCTCTGGTACTTCGATCCCTCCCTGATCTGCGAAAACCACCCCTATGCACGAGTCACGTCGAACATCTTCACGAGGACACCCGTCTTCGACCGACAGAGCTGTGGAGTGTTCGCGGATGCTTTCGACCGAGTGGGGCGCGAGGAGGTGGGAAGTTGAACATGACAAGTTGCATGACACATTGATTGAGTAAGTTTCAGACGTACGCCAGGACATCTACTTCACCCTGGATGGCGGCGTTCAAAAGGGTGCGTCCGAGATACGCAAGAGTATTGGGAAGCTGGAGAATCAGGTTCCGCTCCAGCAGATATTGCTCGTGCCCGAGCAGGCGTGTCCCCGCAGGGACTATTTGCGGAGTGCGCAGGGCACTGAGACTGTGTGCTGCGAGGAGAAGAAGACACACTAGTAGTGCTGTAACTGTTTAACGTTTCAGAAGTTGCCATTAAGGTCCGAGGCCAACGCGAAGCGTCGAAAAACCTCGGCAGCTGGTGACCTCTCCGCTGTGGTAGGGCGGGAGACCATGTACTTTGGGCGGAAAAGTGGGCCAGTGGAAGCCCGAGATCACACCGCGTGGGTTGCGCCGGGTGCATCATCCACAGCTTCGCCCGCAACTCGGCGAAATTGCCCAGAGTCCGAGAATCAACTTTGATTGTGTTGGGAGGGCTTCCGCCTTGCCTGCAGGTGTTGAGCGCAGTTCCTCTGCCGAATCCGTCCGAGCTGCAGCATGGGACCTGGGCCGAGAAGAAGGCGGCCATCCCTGAAAAGCTCGGCAAGAGTGTGTTCGGCGACGGGCCACTTGAGGCTTCAGTTCAAACTGAGATGATAAAAAAAAACCTGTTTTTGAGCCATTGCAGCCATTGCAGATTCATTCCCAGATTTCGTTCCTGCGCAGGTCTTGACGTCCGAGTCTGACCCGGGGGAGAAGATGCCGTTGTTCTTCTTCGAGAAGGCCGAGGCGTTTTACACAATGGTGCTCCACGAAACTTTCAATCCAGATCGTGTGGTGCTGATGACCCCGGGCGAGGGCACCTTTGTGGTCGAGGCAGTCCGGCAGAGGACGTCCGTCATCTGCATCGTGGCGAACGAAAAGCAGAAGGACATACTCCTGGCCAACGTCAAGAAGCGCCTCCATGCCCGAGTCTCGAATGCCAACGACCGTCGCTTCTATCGCCCACCGAGCCTGACCCCTACTACAAGCAGCGTGGCACCGAGTCCGAGCCCGGCCCCAGCGACAGCATCAGTGGCCCCATCACCGTCGCCGAGTGCGACAGCATCAGTGGCCCCATCACCGTCGCCGAGTCTCCCCGCCCCGCCACGGGCCCCTGAGGAGACTGCTACGACCGAAGCTCAGAAGACGACCGAAGCTCAGAAGACTAAGACGACGGTGGAGTCGGATGATGAAGACGGGTCATCGTCTGGCTCGTCGTCGAAGGGGTCCTGATTCGGTCCCACCGGTCCGAGTCCTCGGTCATTGATTTTGGCTATAAAGAATGAAAAAAGCCTAAAGCCTAAGCGGCACAATGGCAGAAGCAGTCCAGTGCCCGAGGACCGACCGAGCTCTTTTCATTCCTGCGCAGACTTTGGTGCGCGATGCAAAAGAGGGTCGAATGCCCGCGTGTTCTGCCAAGTCGTGCAGTGCTTTCCAGACTGTTTAGTCTCTATGCGTTTCTTGGGAGGCGGAAACGTTCCAGCTGCCAGCCTTGCCCCGGCCTTATTCCAGCCACGCAGGCATGTCACGTTCACACAGACATTGACTGTCACCGTTCAGGTTGAACCGCTTCGGCAACGGACTCAACTCCCGGAAGGCCTGAAGGCATGTTTTGCCACGCGACGTGACACGACGGCCTTGCCTTCAACTTAGAAATTTCTTGCAGACTGGCTCAGTTCCCAAATCATTTTGATTCTAGTCATCATTCATGAATCCTTTGCCCAAGTCAAAGACTGGGAGCTGATTGCTACCCATGCACCCAAAAAGATCCCGGCATGTTTCGCATTACGCACATCCAGGGAACGTCGCGGGCCATGGCCGAGCAAGCAGTCGCACGCATTGGCGATACAGGCGGGCTGCATATATATATATATATATTTAAATTTTAAAGGACGTACACTCATTTCAAGTCTGAGATGGCAAGCAAGACCAGGAGGCCCTGCTGCACGTGACCACTGCCTCCTTGCCACCCATCAAACGGAACTGGGCAGCGGGCAGCCAGAAGGTGGCGAGGATCACGTTTCTACGTGCAGGCTTGGTCATGGCAAGTGCGATTGGAGCCGGAGTTGGAATTGTTGTCATTGTCATGTGCTGAAATTTCCGTTTTTTACTCACTCCTTTGTGTGTAGAGTGAGCCGCTGTGAGACGGTCAACACCCAGGCGCTCGATGCTTCTTCGAGGCAGGCTTCATGGGCCGATTGCGCAAGGGCTCGAAAAAACTCTGCAGCCCGAGTGAATCGCTCGCGTGGCGTTGCCGCTTCAGTTTCGATCACCCGATCACAGGACTCTCAGCAGCCAGATATCATCATCCGCATTAATTCGCGGTTCATTTAGTGTTTAAGTCCTTTGTCACATATCGTAGTAATCCAAATGAGGCAAAAAAGAAAGCTGGTTGACCATGCGTCCGATTACTTGGGGTGGATGGGGCATCGGCTGTTGGCTTTGCAACACTTTCAAAGTGCAGGGGCGACACATCCGCAAATGGAAGGGGGGAGACAGGTTGCAAAACGTGTGCAGGCAAACTTCACTTCCCAACCCGTACTTGCTGTTTCTTGGAACCGAGGTCGTGCTCCTTTGCCCGATTGACGGTGACATCACGGGACATGATGTCGCCTCACACCTTCGCTGGGCACGCCAAGAGCAAAGGCCACGTCCGAGCATTGGAAGCCTTAGCGGCCGCAAACATCAAGCCCGAGGATGCGGCTTGCAAGCGAGGCATTGAGGCCATCGCCACAGGCATCTCGGTCGGTGTGCCGCGCATAGACAAATTTCGTCTGGCTGCCACAGTGGTTGGTCGGCGAGACAGCTTCCGAGAAGCTCAGCCACAGTGGCCGTGTGTGACATGGAGGTCTTGGGAATAATCATTGGTATTGCAACTAAGGATTTGAAGGCCTATATGGAATGTCTTGGAGAACAAGATTTTTCGGAGCGAGTTTGCAAGCAGATGGTTGCAGCCATGTCGCGAGTGCTACATGGCCAGGATCTATGTGTTCTGGAGAAGGTCAGTGATGTGTGTTTGTGTGTGTGTGTGTCTGTGTGTGGGCATCTCTGCAGTTGTAAGTGTAACAGACTCAATACATGTCACATAATAAGTGAGTCGCTCGGTTGCTGCATGGAGGCCGAGCACTGCTGCATTGCACTGGACGAGCGAGACTCCTGCGTGCTTGTTGCAGCGCGCATGTACTACACAGGCCAGGCAGACTCAGAATTATATATACGCAAAACCACTGAAATTCTTGCCTCTTCTCACCTGCCGGCCTAATCATCAGAGGACTCAAGCGGAACAAGTGGTTGCCACCGAGTGGACTGTATGATTGCCTCGTCGGCATCGCCCGAGACTATGGACCGGGGCCGGATACACGAACTGCACAGGATGAGACAGTTGTTTTTGTTGTACAGGTTTCTATAGCTCGCGAGTGCGTCTGACAATGATTTAAGGAGAGCGTTGCCAAGGCGGTCATGGCGACCCTAAGGTCATTTTGCACTCGGAGAGTCGGTCGCAGAGACGCTGGAGGAGTGAATGGGCCCGACGACAAAGTCGACGAGGACCTCTTTGAGCGGCTGAAGGACCGGGCAAAAGCCGAAAGTGGAGCAACAACACACTCGCCTTTTCTGCGTAGTGTGAAATATTATTGATGAGAGATGTTAAGCTGGCAAGGCCCGAATTCACGTTGCAGTCTGCGATGGTGGTCTGTCCGAGCAGCAGGCCATGCAGACTCTGGCTGCGTCCGAGGAGGGGCTTCCGGGGCTCAAATTTGTCGTTCGGGACCGAGCCCATCGGATGCGAAGTGTTCAGAAGCAGACATGGGATGCACTGTCCGGTCTTTGCACGCTCCTCCCCGTCCTCGTTACGTCCGAGGGAAGCGTCTGCAAGACCCTGGAAACCTCGAGGAAGCTCAGCTTGATGTGGGAGGAGACTCAGAAAACACAGCCCTCCCAGTTCACCGTGGCGTTGCGGAGCTTTTCCTTCGCGATGCAACGATTCGAGTCCCTGTCGATGCCTCTCTACAAGATCCTGCGGACGCTTCCCTCTTTGTACAAGTTCTTGGCCCGAGTATGCCAAGACGGGGACGTCGATGACGAGAAGTGGGCCCGAAATGTGCTCGAGCAGCTCACCGGCACTGGGGCAGGCGCAGCCATCGTTCGATGCGGCATCGTGTCCGACACCATGTTGACGTGCAACCGCTTCCTTAGACTTTGCGACAAGGCCGATGATGACGCTTGCCTGGCAGGTTCACAGGCCGGGTTGCGGGATGGCCAGGTATCCATTGACCAGTCGTCTTGGGGGTTTACGGTTATTGCTTCAGTCAGAATTGCTGGTGTGAAAAACGTCTCTATCCTAAGTCCTGCTGAACCATCCCGTCGCAGATTTGCCTAATCACTCAGATCTGGGAGACTGATAATAACAGAGCAGAAATATAATAATCAAGACATAAGAACATTGCAACTCTGAGATACACGACAGGCAGCCGAAGTGATGCATTCCATGAAGCATCTCTTCTATGAAGGAGCTCTGCTCGAGGCCCAGGAGAGCATGACGGTTCAAGCCATGCGTACGATCCAGGAAGTGGGCTCTGTGCGAGTACTTTCCCGAAGAGCTGCTGGGGCGCGAGGTGCAAGGCCAGAGCACGTACTGCCAGTATGGAACGACTCCAGCGAGCAAGCTATCAAGAAGGACATGAAGCGAGTGTACAAGATTGTTGATGCTTACTTCCGGTCCAACTTTCCGCACTGGGATTACATGAACTCGCTCAGCGCGCTCGACCTTCACGCAAAGTTAAGTATGACTCAAAGGAAGAGTCTTGTAGCCCGAGTGGCAAAGCAATGGGGCTTGAATGCTGACACTTTGTGGCCCCTTGACTGCAGGTAATTATATAATTTATGGCGAGTCTTTCATTGCATGCTTGCGTTCCCAACCCTGCCCACTCTGAGGAACCAGCTGGTGGGCAATGCGACCGAGACTGATGTGGGAAATGGTTTGTTTGCTCGAGCTTTGTGGCACGCTCGCAATCCCAGCCAACAGCCATCAAAGGACGCATGGGTTTGTGCTTTGTCCGAGTTACGCACAGGGCAGGTGCAGCAAAGGCCCGAGGCTGTCAAACTGGTGAAGCACGCCCTGTGCTTTATGACGTCAACCTGCAATGTGGAGCGATGGTTGCACGAGATCGGTTTGACCGAGCACAAAAGCCGAGCACATCACCTCAATGTATACCGCCTCGAGGATGCTGTCAAGCTCAACGTGCAAAACATGAAAGGCAGGTGCTCGGTCATGCAGGCCGACTATTTGACCACCAGTGCGTCCGAGAGTCAGCAGCGAGGCGTACGGTGGCAAGCATCGGATTTTGGGCTGCGAGCACAAAGAGCATATGCAGAGTATTTCGGAGACAGGGAGCTGCCAGCCCGAGACCTGTTGGCCATGCAAGATCGCACTGACAAGCCGAGGCTGGCACCTTTGAGGGCTTCGTCCGAGAAGTCCCTCAACAGCCAGCTGAGACGGCATAAGGAATCCTTGGATTCCGCTGTGTCCCAGCGATGCAAGAAGCCAAAGATCATGTCCGAGATGGTGGCGGCTGCAGAAGACTTTGCAAGCAGTGTCTCGGCCTTGACTTCCGAGGATTTGTGTTTGAGGAATAGTCATATGTATGTATGTATGTATGTATGTATGTATGTTAGTATGTATGTATATATATATATATATATACCTGTCAGCCTGTAACATCTGCCATTCAAATCAAAAGGTATGGATTCCGGTGCCCAGCCATCCGAGCCGAACCCGAAGCTGAAGCCAACAAACGCCGAGTCCGAGCAGACCGCTGCCATTCCGCCCGAGACGGAGGAAGATGCCTTGGACGTCATGGTCAATGAAAAAGTGGCCGAGCAGAACGAGCTTGGGAAAAAAAGGCGAGCGAAAGCGGTGGCGACTCCTGTTAGGTCCTTGGCGCCCTATGTGCATGCCACCGGTTCTGTGATCGGCCCGATTTCTGCCAAAGCTGAAATCCCTGCCCGGGTGGTTGCTCCAGTTCCTGGCTCGACTCTCATGGTGAAGTTGGCGCCAGGCGCGAGGTGGCCTGAGGCTGCAAGCTCCCGCTTTCGCATGACTGCTGACTGGTCCAATGCCCAGATGTTACAAGTCCAATGCTTCAATCGGGAGCTGCTCACCCCTTCCGCTTTGATTTGTCGTTTGCGTGGTCTCCATTTGGCCGACCAATTCTTCATCGCATCTAATATGCGGAAAGGGAGCTGCATATGCTTCCAACGCGGGTTGGACCTGCACTACTATTTCTATTTGACCGAGGACTTTATCAGAGTGCACTCCGCCCATGCGGCTGTTTTGCTCGAGTATGGGGAGAAACAAGGCTGTAAACTTAGAGTTTACCGGGGTCCGATGCCCGAAAAACCGCGGCATCCTCTCTTGTCGTTTTCTGTCGTTTCATCGTCCGAGGGCCATGTCGAGGGCAAGTCCTTAAATCTGGACCAGCTGCTCGCGAAAGTAGGGGTTTTGGGGGAGTCCGAGATTACAACATCAGCCCGGTGACAAAATCTGGGTGCTGCTCAGTTCCAGTGAACATGTTATTATTCTCGAAGCTGGCTTTAATGCATTTGTAAGAGACTGTGCGGAGACCCTTGCCAGGTGGCCCACAGTGAGGGGGGACTCGATTGCCTGGCAGTCTGAAAAAGTGTCCGCCAGCCCATGAAGCAGTCAGTCAGTTGGCAGCATCTGCTACATACTTATTTTCGATAGCCACTACTTATCATTATTGACTACAGTTGTATATATGCATAT